AGGCAGGGGCTGCTGTGGCCAAGACGGGGTGGGGCCAGAGGAGAATGAACCCAGGAGGTTGACTCCACCTAACAGCCTGCCAGGGTTCCTGGGCAGCTCCTGCTACCCACAGGAGTGCAGAGCCTGAGGTGGCTGCAGGTCTCCATGGGGCAGTGTGGCCAGCGCCAGCGTCTCCTGCACCCACGGGGTTGCTCATGCTGCTAATACCTGGCCTTGGATGGGCAGAGGGGTCTGTCCTAGGGGCAGCCTTCCCCCAGCCAGCCTCCCCGAGATCCCATGGCTGGTCCCACTCCCCATCCCCACCCCACTCACTCTCGGGATCTCGTCTGGTGGGAGGAAACAGCTTCCCCAGGGCCCTGGGCCAGTGGCTGCTTCTGGTGGCCCCATGGCTGGCAGTCGCCTCTGCCCCCTTCCCTCCCAGGAGGCCTCCCAGGTCCCTCCACAGACCCCCACGTCCTGCCCCAGGGCGCCCCTACTGATGGGGGTGGGCTGGGACGAGGGTCTGCCTGCAGCCGTTTCCCTCACTGTGGGGCTAACGACACCGCCCCCTGCCTGAGGGGGCCGCTTCACCTTCGCCCCGCCTTCCCCACACCCGCTCTGCCAGGCAAACAGATCCCTCCCGCCTGCCTCATCCTGCCCCGGGCATGTTTCCTGAGCAAGGTCACTGGAGTCGCTGGAGCCCAGAGCCAATAAAACCCAGTGATGTGCACAGGCCGGGAAGCCACCCCGCCCAGGATGTTTGCTCCGCGCCGTGCCCCCCACCGGGCTCTCGGGTGGCCTGTAAGGGGTCTCGGCTCTGCGGCCCCGCCACCCACAGGCCCCCACTGCCCCAGCAGGTGAGGAGGTCCGGGCCCAGGGCCCCTGCTCCTTCCAGACCCTCACATGACCCCAATGGGCCTTTCATGCTGGTGCCCTGGGGGCATCCAGACTTTGTCTCCTTCCCCCCCGGCTCTGCCCAGCCTGGTCCATGGGCTGCCTGGGACCTCCCCAGACATCTCAGCCCTCTCAGCCTACTGAGGCCATCAGACCCCGAGGTCTTGTCCTCCCACGTGCTCCAGGCTGGAACCAGCCAGTTGCCACTGCTCCCTTCTCCGGGCCTGGCCAGGGGCTGCCTCTGCCTCGTGAGCACCCCTGGGGCCCCGGCCCTGGGCCAGGCCGCTATGTGTTCTACTGGACGACTCACAGCCTTCACACACGCCCTGCGTGTGCCTCTTCCCGCCTCTCATCCAGTCTCCTCTCTCAAGCTGGAGCGAGCGCAGCTGCGTCCTTCCCTGGGGCAGCGTGGGGCAGAACTTGGGGGACCTGAATCTGCTCCTCTCTCTGACTTGATCACAGCTAACCCCCCTGTGCCTCTTTGCCTCTGAGCCTTCCCATAGGCTGTTCCCTCTGCCTGGAATGCTGTTCCAGCTCAACCTTGATCCCTCGACCCAGCCCCATGCTGGTGTCCTGCAGATGTGTTTGTCCAATGGAGACACGTGTTCAGGGCTCAGCCAGCCCAGGCAGTCAGGGTAAGTCCCAGGCCCAGCGGTGGGGCCGCCATCACGAGTCCACTGTTCCCAGAGGGTCAGCGTAGCGGGGTCCTGGGGTCCGGGAAGAGGAGGCTGTGCACGGCAGGTTTGGTTTGTGGGAGGGTGTGCACCTGGCAGGGATGAGGCTGGGACCGAAGGCACAGGCGTGAGCTGGGTGTGACTGGGACGAGACCAGGGAGCTCAGCAGGGCTATGAGGCTGGGTCCTGGGATGGACAGGAACTGGGGTCCTGGGGGCTTCAGGCTGGAGGAGGTGGGGAGCAGGTGGCCCAAGGCTTGCGGCCGGGCCGAACGGGCTGGGGATCAAGGGCATCTTTACCCAGGAGTGAGGGCTCTGGCGCCTCTGTCAGCCCCGTGTGGCTGCCGGCCCTGTGGGGAGAGCGCCCAGCATCAAATCAATTGGAGAAATTGATCTCGGCAGGGATTTCCGAGCCATCTGCTCAGTCCCCAAAGCCTTCTGAGCCGATGAACGTGGCACCCAAATCTCTGGAGAGGCAGGTCGGGGGGAGTGTTGCGGTGTGAATGGGCCTCGGTTTCCCCCAGTGCACCCTGGCTGTACCCCTCTTTGGTGACTCAGGAGGCAGAGCTTTGTGGAGCCCCTGCAGAAGCCCACCCTGCCCCGCCCAGAGCTGTCGAGAAGCCGTGAGGGGCAGCTCCAGCCTAAGACCCCAGGCAGCGTCCGTCATTTCTCACCCTCTTCACTAATTCCACGCCTCCCGCTTCCTGCTGGGCGTTTGGCTGCTCCCAGCCCAGCCTGGTCTGGCTCAGCGGGGCTGGGGCTGGGGGCTGGGCCCTGTGTCGGGCCTCGGGGGACCCCAGGCTCCACTCGCTCTGGTCTGTGCTGGCTGCGTTCGGCTCCAGGGACAATATTTGCTCAGGAAAGGATCAAACATGTATCCTCGCGTTTATTCAGGGGAGCAGTTGTCAAACACGCGTGTCCTCATCGCTCAGATGTTTCCCAGGCCTGGCCTCCGCCTGGGCCTTTCTCCAGCCAGGCTCTGTGCCCACTCAGCCACACCCTGCACCCTCCGGGAGGACGAGGTCCTGCCCTGAGCAGACGGCGGGAGCGCGGGTCGGGGCCAGTGCTGGGCAGGGCAGTGGGGTCCCTGGGGCCGAGTGATGTCACACCCTGGTCCTTCTTCCAGCCTCAGAGTGAGGCCAAGGTGCCCCAGAGACCCCAGCAAGTCTCTCTGGGCCCACGTTCTGGGCCTGGGGCGCCAGGAAAGCTGGCGTTTGGGGTGGGGGAGGGGGGACAATTCTAGGTGGGGGCGGCGGAATTCCCGGGGCCTGCCATTTGCGTCACCCACGCGTCCGCCATCTCTCAGCAGTGCTGTCTGCTGTAGCCTGGGGAGCAGCCCCCCACTGTGCCTGGATGACTGTCATCTGCTCCTGTCCCCGTTCCCTCTCCCGGGCCGGAGTCCCTGTCCCAAAGCAGAAGAGACAGCTGCAGGTTCCCCGTCCTCACCAGCCCCCGACTCTCAGGTCCTCCTCTAGCAGGAGCCCCTCTCCCTAGTGCCCCCAGACACAACCTGCACCGGACCCCTCCAGACAGAGCCAATACCAGCACAGCACAGCCACCTGCACCCCCAGAAGCCTGGAGGGCCAGAGTCTCCACCCCAGCCTCAGCCCCCAGCTCTCCTCTGCACCGGCCGCCTCCCCACCTCGCCCCTGGCTGGGCCAGCACCCAAGCCCCCCCGCTCCCCTCTCTGAGATAGTAACTGCCGTGCACAGCGTCCTGTAGGGGGTGTCGGGCAGCAGGGTGGGGCCCCCAGGACAGGCGTGACCCTGGCTGGCCGATGGCTGCCCAGCCACGCTCCCTTTACATCCGCGTCCCCAAAGTCCACACAGTGCAGGGCGAGCGAGGCACTGGGGCCGCGGCCAGGGACTACAGAGGACCTGCGTCAAGCGCTTTCGGGTGCCTTTAAATTTAGCAGAGCAGCCCCAGACGTGGACCAGGTGGCTCGGAGCTGACCCGAGGGCACAGTAGCTGGTAGGCCGGGCAGGTCAGTCCCTGCAGTCAGGAAGACCTTCTCGCCTGGCCGGCCTTCTGGAAAAGTCGCTCCCCAGAGGGAAAGCCGGCATGGGCTGGGGCCGGACGGAGGGTGAGGCAGCCCTGAGCACTTTCAAGGCACGGCCAAGCCCCCCACCTCCCGGGAGCCCCGCCATGTGGCAGACGGCTGGAGGGAGTGGGGATCACTGTGGGGCGCCTTCTGCCCTGTGTCCACCCCAGCCTGGCCTCAGCCAGCTCTGTCCTCACACCACTGCCGGGCAGCATCCTGACTGGCAGGTCATGGGTGGGGGTCACTGCAGTGCACCTGGGGGTGACATGGGGCCACCCATCCCCCGCTGGGGCCCTCACAGCTTGCTGGTCTGCATAAGCCCATTGGCTTCGGCGCCGTCTGCGGGCGGCATGGCCTCCTGCTGCTGCCGGCTCCTATCTGGCCGTGGCTCCATGGCGTCAGCGTCCTTGGCGCCAGAGCCCTTTCGGAGGCACAGAACCTTCTGGAAGCTCTGGCGGAAGTTGTCAGAGAGGAAGCCGTAGAGGACGGGGTTGGCGCAGCTGTTGGCGTAGGAGAGGATGACCACAAAGAAATAGAGGCCGGCGGAGGCGGGCTCCTGGGGCAGCGCCACGGCCAGGTTGACGATGTTGACGGTGAAGAAGGGCAGCCAGCATCCCGCGAACACCAACACCACCACCAACACCATGCGCGTCACCTTCCGCTCCGAGCGCCGCCTCACGCAGCCCACGCGCACGCCCGCCGCCCTCACCTTCACCACGATGAGCAGGTAGCACAGGCAGATGACCAGCAGTGGCCCGAAGAAGCCCAGCACGGCCGTGTAGATGATGAAGACGGCGCCCCACAGCCCCACGGGCTCCGGCCAGCTGGCGTTGCAGGTGCCGCCCTCCTGCACATCTGCGAACACCAGGAGCGGCAGCGACATGCACAGAGACAGGGCCCAGGCCGCGGCGCTCGCCAGCTTGGCCACACGTGGGCGGCGCCAGCGGGCGGAGCTCAGCGGATGCACCACAGCCAGGTAGCGGTCCACACTCATGACCGTCAGGCAGAAGACACTGGTGAACTGGTTGACGCCGTCCAGCGTCATGACCAGGCGGCACAGGACAGGGCCGAAGGGCCAGAAGGACGCGGCATTCTGTGTGGCCAGGAAGGGCAGCCCCAGCATGTAGAGGACGTCGGCCACTGCCAGGTTGAGGATGTAGATGTTGGTGACCGTCTTCATCTTGGCGAAGCGCAGCACCACGTAGATGACCAGCGTGTTCCCGCCCAGCCCAGCCGCGCACACCAGCAGGTACAGCACGGGCACCAGCACTGCCCGGGCCCCCGCCGAGGGCGCCGGCCCCACCAGCGTCCTGTTATCGCCACCTCCGGAGGCAGCCCCCGGGGAGGAGGCGTTCCAGCTGGGCGTGGAAGCTGGGAACAGGGGTTCCATGGCGGCAGCCCGGGTGTACGTCGGGCTCTGCAAGAGAAGAAGGGAGGACGCCAGGGTGGTGAGTCCCTGAACCGGCACATGCAGGCATTCCTTCCTCGGGGCCCCAGCCCGGCCCCAGCCCCGCCTGCCAGAAGGCGCGGGATCACCGGGTAAACACGATTAGTCATGTTCAGCTCGGCCGGCCGGGAATCACATTAAGTAAATTGTTTGGAAAACAAGCCAGGAGAGGAAGGAGCAGTGGGCAGGTGGCCCCGGGAACCCAGACGGACAGCTGCTGTCGATACGGCGACGGCTGCCCTGTGGCCGCCCCTGCACCCAGATGGCGCCTGGCCTGGCTGCGGCATCCTGGAGTCTGAGGCCAGCACCTGCGTCTCCCCAAAGCCCCTCGGAGCCTGCCCTGCGGTGCTGCTGCCCTCGTCTCCCAGGTAAGGGGCCGTGGCCCAGCGGGCGGCACCTCCAGGGACACACAGGGAGAGGTGGCAGTGGAGAGGGACGGGGCTGGTGAATGGCCCCCTGCCCGCCTGGGATGAATGGCGCCTGGCTAGCTCGACCCAAGAAGTGGCTGGATGGGGTGCTGCCACCGCAGCCTTGAGGGGCTTTCACCGTGGTAGACCCTGCCCATCGGCCCCTGGGCCTCTCGCCAGGCCAGCGCAGGGACCGTCACCCCCACAGCAATGACAGACATCTCTAAACCCAGGCAGGGGCACAGCACAGGGCCAGGCAGACACCGCCCCTCCCCACGGGGCAGCTGCAGAGAGGCAAACACACAAACCACACACAGCAGCCACACGGAGCCCCAGGAGTCGCACAGGGCAAAGGAGGGGGGACTGGGGATGGGGGCTGCCAGGGAGAAGCCGCGGTGGGGGGCGTGGGTGGGTTAGAGGCACAGTGTCTGGGGGCTCCAGCTGCCTGACACTGCCCAGTCCCATTGGAGCTTTGAGCCCCCTCCCAGGCCCTGGAAGCCCCCGACGTGGCCCAGAGAGACAACAGGGGAGACCTGGGGCAGGGGAGGGAGGGAAGGCTTCGGCCGGGGAGAAGGGTGGACTGGGAATGGTGACGTCTGTGGGTTCAAGGCCATGGGCACATGGGTACCTCGTACGTTGTTTTTGTATTTTTCTGTATGTTTGAAATAATCCATAAAAATGATACTCTGGCTGGGTGCGGTGGCTCAGACCTGTCACCCCAGAGCTGTGGGAGGCCGAGGCGGGTGGATCACCTGAGGTCAGGAGTTCGAGACCAGCCTGGGTAACATGATGAGACCCCGTCTCTACAGAAAATACAAAAATTAGCCAAGTGTGGTGGCACACGCCTGTAGTCCCAGTCATTGGGGAGGCTGAGTCGGGAGGATCATTTGAGCCCAGGAGGTCAAGGCTGTGATTGCATCACTGCACGCCAGCCTGGGGAACAGAGCAAAACCCTGTCTCAAAAATAAGATCAATGCCTCCCCTGGAGGTGGAGGAAGGCTGGACGTTCAGGTTGACCCTGGAGCTGTGTGGCTCTGGGGGTGGCCAGTAGAGAAGCAAAGTGCACCCCAGGATCCAGACCCGGGACAGGCCCATCCCTGGGGGACCCTGGCCTGAGCAGGGGTGGAGCCGGCCGTGGTGACCCCAGCATGTGCCGTCTGGAACCCTGGGCCTGCTCAGCTGACCGGCCGTGACCCCCGAGGCACCTCAGAGCACAAGACAACCCCAGCAGCTGCCAGGAAAGGCCGCAGTCCTGGTTGGGGGCTGCGGGGCTGGGCCAAGGCCACTGAAATCTAGTAGACAAGGAAAGGAGAGCTGGGGACAGGGGAGCCCAGAACACAAGGCTGACAGCCACAGAGAGAAAACCCTCCATCCCCAACAAACCTAGAAACCAACGTCCCCAAGCTCACGTGGCATAAACACACTAAGAAATACGACTCAGAAAACCAACAGGGCCAGCGGACCCGCGGATTCATCTCAGGGGAGATAAAAATAACAAGCTAACAGGTACACTTAGGCTATGTTTAAACCCGTGCAGGATCCACAGAGAAGGAAGGCATGGATAAAATGTTAGGAAATACATTTAGCTTCTGTCTAAGAAGTAAAATGAACAGGCATCTATTTTTAAAAATTACAAATCTTGGATGTAAAAAATACAATCATTTAGGTGGAAAAAAAAAAAAAAAAAAACTACAAAAGTGATCAGAACCAACTCCTGTGTGGACAGTGCTGAAGAGAGAATTGGTGAATGGGAAGAGGGTTGAAAGGTTCGCTGGAGCAGGGTGCCGGCAGAGGGAGAGCCTGGTTGGGCTCCCCCAGACTGGCAACTGGGTCCCGTCTCTGAGTGCACCTGTCCCACGCAGCATAAAGGAATGAAAGAGCATCCCTGACAAGCTGCGGCATCTGGGCAGGAGCAGCCCTGAGAGACGCCAGCCAGCCAGACAGGATGGATTCCCACAGGCAGCAGAATCCTTAGCAGGAAGGGAGCAGGGGCCTCCATGCAGACCCCGGGGGGTGGGAGAAGAGGGGTGGCGGGGAGGGAAAGAGAAAGACAGGGTGTTGGAGGCAGGGAGGGAGAGGAGGCAGGGAGGGAGAGAGAGGAAGAGGTAGAGGGAGGGGGAAGGGAGAGAGGAGGGAGGGACAGGGAAGGGGAGGGGGAGGGGGAAGGGAGGGAGGGAGGGAGAGATAGGGGGAAGGGGGAGGGGAGGAAAGATGGAAAGAGGGAGAGGGGAGGGGGAGGGAGAGGGGAGGGAAGGAGGGAGAGACAGGGAAGGGGAGGGGGGAGGGGGAAGGGAGAAGGAAGGAGGGAGGGAGAGGGGAGGGAGAGGGAGAAAGGGGAGGGAGAGGGAGGGGGAGGGGGAGGGAGAGGCAGGGAAAGGGAGGGGGGAGGGGGAAGGGAGAGGGAAGGAGGGAGGAAGAGGGGAGAGGGAGGGAGAGGGAGGGGAGGGGGAGGGAGAGATAGGGAAGGGGAGGGGGGAGGGGGAAGGGAGAGGGAAGGAGGGAAGAAGAGGGGAGGGGAGGGAGAGGAAGAGAGGGCACTGCCACCCTAGAACCCCAACCCGGTGGAGCACTGCCCAGCCAGGAGGGAAAAGTCATTTTCTGTTTTGCTGGAGCTGCTGCTGCAGATGCTCCTGGGCTGGGGTTGGGCTGGAGCCTCCAGCCGCGTCTGCTCCTGACCCGGATCAAGGCCTCTCCTGGGAGACTCAGACAGGGGCCTCCTGGCAAGCGAGCTCCCATGGGTAGCAGTGGGCCTGTGGCTCTCCGCTCCCCAGGGACCAGCACAGAACACCAACACGCCATGTTTACAGCTTCCTCTGGCTGCCTGTGGAGCATGCATTCCAGAAGGACAGTGGTCTGGAGACAGCCCGCGGGCTGTCCAGGAGTCCAGGTGGATGGGACAGCGACCCAGCTGCAGAGGCCTCTGAGCTGCAGCCCTCCCGGGGGAGGCGCTTCCGGCCCATTCCTCCACACCAAGGAGGTCAGGTGGAGCAGACAGAGGAGCCACCGACGGTGGGGCAGGGAGAGGGCGGCTGCCGGGCTCTGGTCCACCTCCTACACAGGCCCTGGGTCCCCAGAACATGTGGTTCCCAAATGCCTGTTTGATTTTTTGTTTTTGAGATGGGGTCTCGCTCTGTTGCCCAAGCTGGAGTGCAGTGGTGCGATCACAGCTCACTGCAGCCTCGACCTCCTGTGCTCAAGTGATCCTCCTGCCTCAGCCTCCCAAGCAGCTAAAATCAAACCCCTGTCTTTGTAGCTTCATAGCTTCAGAGGAGGCACTCGGGGCTCCTCCAAGGCCACTCCCATGCCCAGAGCCCAGCGAGGGGCTCCACAGGCTGCCAGGTACCCTGCTCTGCGGCCCCCAGTGCTCCAACTCCAGAGTTAGACTTCAGAGCAGCGAAGAACAAAAATAGACCATTATTGCTGTACCTGACTCTTGGAACATAATTCTGCAAGAGCCATTATTTGGAAGCAGTAATCTTCTGAATCATAAAATTATGCACTCACCGGAAAACTGTCCTGGTTGCTCTGTCCCTTGTGGGCGGGGGGATTCACTGGTGGGGGGCAGTGTTGGGAGCTTTCTGATCCCCAGCCCTCGGCCAGGAAGGGATCTGCTCAGCCAGCATGTAGCCTGACATGGCACTGGGAGAGACTCCAGCCCCTGCCCACCCTCCACATGGGCTGCGTAGTCTGGGGTAAGTCATGGGCTTCTCCCAGCCCAGCTTCTAGGGAGCTCCTGCAAACCGTAGGGTCGCTGAGCAGATGCAACTGAGTGAGCTTCTGTGTGCAGGGTGCTGCGTGTAGTGTCAGGCATACACTGGGCGCTCAATGATTGCTCCCACAAGCTGCCCTAAGCAGCCCAGCATCTCCCCAGCATCCAGTAGGCTGCCTGGCTCCTCGGAGAAGGGGGCAGAGTCTTCACAGAGGCCTGCGACCAGAGATAGGCCCTCAGCGCCAAGTCCTCCATGACAAGGCGGAGGTCTAACCTGTGCCAGCCAACCCCTTGCAGGCTCGCCCAGCATGAGGTTGGGGAGCTGGGTCCTTCACGGGGGGCAGCGATGCAGCTGCAGCTTGGAGGGACTGCGGAACCTGCCGCTCAGGGAGGCAGTGGCTTGCACGGCTGGGACCCATGCCCCACCCTGGAGAGGCTGCAGACCCCCCTGGGCTCCTCCAATGTGTGCTGGGTGGGAGCAAACATGGGGGGACACCCTAGCTAAGACTACAGGCTGCAGCCCCTCCAAAGGCCCCTGAGCCAAGCCTGTGCTCCCAGGACGAGCATTCTGACCTGTTTCCTCTGTCGTAAGCGTAGGCTGGTGGCAGGCCCCTTCCCCCTTGGGGTCCAGGTCTGTGAGTGCAGCCAATGGCACCTCCGCCTGTCCCCCACATACACGCCATCTGCCCCTGTGGCAGCCTGTGGCCAGGGGCACATACGCTCCCCAGGACGGGGAAACTGAGGCAGGTGTGGGCCACCCTGGAGCAGCAGCAGCAGGGGTCCTGCGAGCGCTCTCAGGCCACCCTCCACACCAGGCACCTCCTCGGAGCCCCACTGGCTCTCGTCCTGGAAATCGACGCTGGGCCCCTGTCCTTGGTGCCATCGACCAGTTTCTGCCCAGGAGGCTCTGGCAGTCCCCACCCACATCGCCCAGAATCGCTCCCTTCAGAAAGAGCACAGCGGCGATGGAACCATCCTCAGCTTCTGTCAGCATGCACTCCGGTCTCGCTCTCGAGAGGGCCCCAGGCAGGCTGGCAGGCCGGGGTCAGCGGGTTGGGCATGTGGGTGAGTCTGGGGTGGGGGTGGAGGGCCAAGGGCACACACCCTAGGGGCATGTTCTCTTTTCTGGGGAGGGTGAAGACACCAGGAGGATTCCAGGCACACACGGTGCCTTGGACAAGTGGGGCTGTGTTCGCAGTGGGCGGAGTGGCACCGCAGCCTCCCTAGTCCTGGGTCTCAGGGAACCCATCCGGGGGTGCCAGATCACAGGGCCCCTGGGCGCTGGCCTCTGCCTGCTGCCCTCCAGGAGCTCACCGACCCAGCTGGGTGTAGGCACTAGTTGCCTCCCTCGTACGCAAATTGTGGATCCTCCCCTCGCTGGGTGCCATGGGCACCCTGGGACTCTCCTTCCGTGGCCCAGTGGCTCCTTGTGGCTTGAGTGCCACTCCCAGCCTCTACCCCAGGCTCCGAGCCCTCCCCAGCTCTCTCCACCCTCCTCCAGCTCTAGGGGCCAGCCCCGCTGTGGCCCCCGTCGTGGCGAGGTGAGGCCGGGAGCGGCACGGTGGGCAGAGTGGGACCATCTGGGTCCCCTGTGGCTTCTGGGCTGACCCTGGCAGACCGGCCGCCCGCAGATGGTGAGTTGTGGCAGGCGGGGCAGGAGATGGCAGGGATGCAGCTGCGGGGAGTGGATGGAACGGGAGGGGAGAGACCCCCGGCGGGCGGCAGCAGGAGAGCCCTGCGGTGTGCGGAGGGCGCTCGGGGGACAGTACACGCAGCAGGCTGGGGGCGCACGGCAGGACCCCGGGCTGGGGCTGCGCATACAGGGTGAGACCCCCAGCGGGGACAACAGCAGAGGGCGGGGGGCGCCCGCGCGGGAAGGGGACGGGGGCGGGCGGCACTCACCTGGGCGGCGGCGCCCTCTGGCCGGGGGAGCCCCGATGTCCGCGCGGCGCTGGCTCCGGGCTCTCCGGCACCGGCTGGGAGGGGGCGGGGCGGGGCGGGGGCGGGGCCAGTGTCGGGTGGGGGCGGGGCGGGGCCGCTTCACCTGCCCCACTCCCGGCTCCCAGGTCCGGCCTCGCGGAACCCTCGCGGACTGGCCCACAGCCCTGGTCCCACTGGCAGTGACCCCATGGTCGTCTGCGCCCCCACCCTATGTTCTTGCTGTCTGCTCTGAGGTAGACCCCAGCTTGGGGTGGGGGTCCTGCCGCCAGCAGGCGGCCAGGGGGTCCCTCCTGGAGAGTCTCAAGAGGGTGGAGGGTCCTTGCTCAAGGGGAGAGGGTCAGGGGCTCTGCAGGCGTCTCTGAGGGGTGGGCTGGGATTTCGGAGAGAAGTGGGTGGGTGGAGGCTGGTGGGCCGCAGGCAGCCCCAGCGAGAGGGGGTCCGTGGTGGTGGGATTTCCAGGACAGTCCATTTGGGTTTTAACCATGGCTTATTTGTGGATCCCACACATATTTAAATATAGTCTAAAGGTACCCGCTAAGTTGTTACTTTTATTTCCACTGAAATGAATCCATGGGTACACCTTAGTCCCTCACCTAAGTTGGGGTTCTCAAGCAGGCGGCAGAGTCACCTGGGTCCTCAAAGCAGATTCCTGGGCCTCGAGCTGGGCCCCCGACTCCCCAGGCAGTCAGGGCCTGGGAATCTGCATTCGTGACAAGCTCCCGGGATGCTGATCCCCCAGTCCGTGGAGTCTCCCGTGAGCCCCGCTCATGGTAACAAGCAGGATTGAGCACCTCATTCCACTGAGCACGGAGGCTGCGGATCACCGGACATTTTCCCTCTAGGAGGTCCCCCAGCCCCCTCCCCTGCCCTGCCCCGAACCAGGGAGCCCCGCCACTGACTGAAGTGAGGGGCCCCCAGGTGACAGCAGAACTCTGAAGGCCCCGGGCCCCTCTCTGAGGGAGGTGGGAACAGCCGCCTGCCCTCTGTTCACAGGTGGGGTCAGCTCCCACTGGCCAGGCTCATGTTGAAGAGGCACCAGCAGCTCCCACGGAAGGCCGGGTACCGGAACCATGTTCGCACCTTTAAGCTTTTCAGTGTTTCTACATGTTCTACAAGGAGGATGTATTGCCTTTATCATCAAGCAAGAGGGCTTAGAGGACCACAGCACCCAGCCCCAAGGTCCCCTCCCCTCCTGCCCAGCCTGCGGCCATGGCCAGGCCCTCAGGGGAGGCTGCAGGCTGGGCCCAGGGCCCCTGCCAGAATCCTCCCCATAAGCCTTTCCATCCTCTCTAGAGGTACCTGGACTCCATCCCCCCACCCCTGCCAGCAGTAGCTTCCCGAGGCAGATCCTCTGAGAACCTCTTTGTGGCTTTGTGGCCCCAACTCCTCCCCCATCTCATCTGCTGCCCCTCGCCTCAGCCTCCTCCCGCCATCCTCGCAGCCCCAACTCCTCCCCCATCTCATCTGCTGCCCCTCGCCTCAGCCTCCTCCCGCCATCCTCGCAGTTCTTGCCTCAGCTCCCGGCTGTGTTCCTCCAGCTCCCGCCACCTTGTACCTGGGCCCCATCCGTCATGTTCTGGGGCTCCCTGAGAAGCCTCTGGGGTCCCACTGTTCTGGAATCGCTGGGCGCCCCAGGGGTGCAGGGTCCGGTGTGAGAGTCAGGGCCCAGCGCCCAGTGGGAGCTCAGCCCTGCAGGTGCTGGATTTACTCACATCCCCAACATCAAGACGTGACACCCTCCACCCCCAAGCACCTGGTACCTCCTGGGGGCCCGATGGCCAGAGAGGGGACCTGTCGGCCCCGTGCTGCCCCTCCTGCCATCAGTCACCCTGAGTTCTGGGCAGGAGTCCCCTGGCCTCAATCCCACCTACCCCAGGAGGATCAAATGAGGTGACGCCCGCCTGGGACGCTACACAGGTCAAGCCCAGCACCGTGAGGATTAGTGACTGCTGGGAGCCATGGCAACCGGATGGTGGCTGGATGGACTCCGCAGGGATGGTCCTCAGACCCCTCTCCAGGGACCCCACCCTAGCTGTGACCTGTTCCACTGCCCATGACACCCCCTTTCCTGAGGCTGAGGCCAGCAGCTCCCAGACACAAAGCCCGTGCCCCTCCCACACCAGGCAGAGGCGTGGTCACTGTGCTCAGGCTCCCCTGTAATTACTCAAAAGCGACAGAGGCTGACTCCAGCTCACCTGGAACACCCCAGAGGCCTCTCGTCTTAGTCCCCGGACTGAGCCAGGCCCTGGGGGTGGTGGCCAAGAGGAGTGTGGGGCGTTCTGTCCTGCAGCCAACAGGGCCCTCCCTCCACTCCTCCGAAGGGCTCCCCCGCCCCGTGACCCTCTGAGCACCCGGCCTTTGCCCTGGCTGACCCCTGCCCGGTGCACCCACCTCCCTTTCTGCAGGTAACTCCTCCAGCAGCTGAAGCCACCCTTCTTACAGGAAGCCCTTGCCACCCCACACTTGTTCCACCGCCTGCTGCCCCCAACAGCCTGCGGACGCTCACAGGAGGCCACGGGGCCTGGCGGGTCTCAACAACATCCCCTGCTCTGATCACAGCAGGATTCCAATAAACACGGGTCCACGTGCACCTCCTGGCCCTGGCTGGTGCAGCACAGCCCGCCGGATGGGAGGTCAGAGGTCAGCCCCCACTGGGGCAGCACAGCAGGTCACCAGCCTCCCAACAGGAGAAGAAAGACACTGGTGCAGGTGCTGCAGGCATGTGTTGCCGGGACTGGGCTGGGAGGGTGTCCTGGTGTCTGAGCTCCTCAGGGGACCACCGCAGAGCGTCCCCAAGAGCACAGGGTGCCCCGAAGTCCTGCGGATTCCAGCCTGGGGACCCGGCAGCAGGGGCTTCCCACTAAGGCATCTGGAGTGAGGCGCAGGCTGCAGCTACCAAGGGCAGAGCGTGGCCCGGAGTCCAGCGAGAAGCAGGGAGACCCTCGAAGGGTTTCAAGGATGGGGCCTTCTGCAGGGGCCTGAGCCCCGCCCCTGGGGCCCTGGGGGTGGCTGACCCTCCTGGCCGTGGTCTCAGGCTTCAGTGGGCACTCTGTTAAAATGGGGTACTCATTAAAATGCAGCTTCCCAGGCTACCCCAGCCTTCAGGATGGGAGGCGGGGGCAGTGCTGAGGCCCTCACCTTGCACAGGCTTAAGGGACGTCACTGCGCTGGGCGCTGATCCAGGTGCCAGGGACAGAGCAGGTACCAAAGACCTGCCCCCTCCCAGCCCCAGGTAGCGGCCACAGCCAGGCCTGCACTTGGGGGAAGGTGAGGATGAGGAATTTGAGTGAATATGCCCTGGAAACTTGGCCTCTGGAGCTGGTGAGAGACCCCCACACGAGATCCCCACACTCCTGGGGGATCATGGGGACCCCCCCGGTCCCACCTGGGCTAGGGCAGTGGGTTATACCACCCAGGAGAGGCCTCAGGCCTGTGCCAGCACTCTGATAGGCCCAGCTGGGGGGTGGGTCCTGCTCTCCTGGGCATCTTCATTTGAAAACGGGGAAACTGAGGCTCAGAGAGGGTAAGAGTCTTGGCTTGGAGCTGAGTTTCTGGATGCTCAGGCCGGGTCCCACCCAGGACACCCTGCTGTCCGGTCAGGGGAGGGCAGCTGGAACCCACCTCATCCCAGACAATGAGGCCCTGGGAGTCCCGACCCAGCCTCAGCATTGGCAGCGTCCTGGTTCATCCTGGGAGGTGCTTCACGTGGTCACCAGGCAGCCCCACTCCTGCCAAAGGCTCCCATAAGGCGAGATTCATCCTCTCCCCGGGGTACGCCAGGCAGCTCTCGGGGCACTGCTGTCTGGGACTGTGGACTCAGCCTGGGCAGGGCAGGGAGAAGCAGCCGAGGCCGTTCCCACAGATGGTACAGCCCCATTACCAGGGCCCCGGCTGCATGCAGGACACCAGCCCTTCAGCTGGGGCCAAACCCAGCATCCGGTACAGCTGTGGGCGCTGACTCAGGCAGTGGGGTGTGAAGGCAGGACCGTAGTGGGGGAGGAGAAAGGGGGCGAGCTTCCAAAATTAACAGCCACATGACGCGGAGACTTAACATCCCACCGTACAGACAGCGGCGGCGTCCACAGAGGCGGCGTCCACAGAGGGGCCGGGTGAGCCCAGCGCTGCCGTAGGGCTGGGACTCGGGAATGGACATGCAAAGGGCAGCCCTCATAGCCATACAGACAGCAAAGAGGGTGTCACAGTACAGGTGCCGTGGGACAGGTCACAGCTAGGGTGGGGTCCCTGGAGAGGGGTCTGAGGACTGTCCCTGCGGAGCCCATCCAGCCACCATGCGGTTGCCATGGCTCCCGGCAGCCACTAAGCCTCACAGTGCTGGGCTTGACCTCTTCGGCATCCCAGGCGAGCGTCGCCTCACTGGATCCTTCTGGGTGGGTAGGACCGAGGCGAGGGGACTCCTGCCCAGAACTCAGGGTGGCTGATGGTGGGAGGGGCGGTGTAGGCCCGACAGGCCCCCTCTCTGGCCATCAGTCCCGCAGGAGGTCACTGGGGGAGGGGTCACAGCCAGGATCCAGACCCCGTGTGATGCCAAAGGCCGTGGGCGTTCCTGCACAGGAGCAGCTGCTGACTCGTCCAGAGACGGAGGAAGCCAGGAGCCGAACCCCTGTCGGCTCCAGTGGGGACGGCACCAGTCTCATGAGGCCAGAGGAGACCCAGTGCCAGGATCCAGACATGGGGTCCTATCGGAGGCTACACACGGGGGAGAGGGTCCAGCGGCAGCAGGCGGGGCAGGAGAACTATAATCAGGGCAAAAACCACAATCACAACAATTGCAAAACCACAAACATCTCAAAAACCACAACCACCACAAAACCACAACCACTGCAAGAAGCACGCCTATCCTACAGCGTTTTCACTTAGCACCCTCCCCAACAACCTCCACCCACAGCCTCCATTGAGCCCAAAACAAAGGGTCTCAATCCTCAGCATTGCCCGGGTTCCACAGGACGGCCAGGGTTCAGATGTTCCTCATAGAGAGGACTTGGGTCTCTGGTTGGCTCCTCCCAGATTCCCTCTCTGGGAACCCCAACCACCTTCAGGTGTGTCTGCCGCAGAGGCACCCCCAGGTGTGCCTCAGTTACTGCCGACAGGAGCGTTCACCAGGTGTGGTGGTGTCTCCTTGCACTGCTGGAAAATACCCGCGACCAGGTGTGGTGGCTGACGCCTCTGATCCCAGCACTGTGGGAAGCCGGGGTGGGGGGGATCATGAAATCAGGAGTTCAAGACCAGCCTGGCCAACATGGTAAAACCCTGTCTCTACTAAAAATATAAAAATTAGCAGGTGTGGTGGCGGATGCCTGTAATCCCAGCTACTTGGGAGGCTGAGGCAGGAGAATCGCTTCAACCTGGGAGGCAGAGGGTGCACTGAGCAGAGATCGTGCCACTGCACTCCAGCCTGGGCGACAGTGAGACGCTGTCCACCCCCACCCCCCACCAAAAAAAAAAACAAAAAAAACCCGGAGACTGGGTAATTTATAGAGAAAAGAGTTTAATTGGCTCAGGCTCTGTGGGCTGTATGGAAAACATAGCTGCTTCTGTTTCTGGAGAGGCTCCAGGAAGCTTCCAAATGTGCTGGAAGGCAGAAGCGGGAGCAGGCATCTCGCATGGCAAGAGCAGGAACAAGAGAGACAGAGCAGGTGCCGGACACATTTAAACGGCCACTCACCATCTCCAGGAGAGCACCAGGAGGGATGGGGCCAAGCAATTCACAAGAAATCCGCCCCTGATACCCAGTCACTCCCCACCAGGCCCCAGCACCACACTGCAGACTCCATTTCCACATGAGGTTTGGGTAGGGAAGCAGAGCCACACCACACCACCAGCCAGGAGGATGCCCAGGAGCGGGTGTGTGGGGTGCTCAGGGACGACCCGCCCCACGGTGGACGCTGCATCCAGGGGCCAGGGTGTCTGGGAAGAGGCTGGGAGCCAGCGTGGCTGTGGCCCCTCCATGCAGGCATCACAGACCAGGGCTGGCAGGTTTTTGGGGGTGTCCACCTCCACCACCCTGAATCCCAGGTCCTTTTCCAGGGAAACATGCAGAGGAAATGGCTGGAGAGCGAAGTCCAGGCACGGGGGCCATGAGAGCCGGACACCTCGCAGCTGCAGACCCCGACCCTGACCCAAATTGCATGTGGCTGAGGACCCCCAAGCCAGATGCCACGCGGCCGCGGACCCCAACCCAGACAGACCCCGACCCACCCGTGCAGCCCCCAGCCCCAGAAGTCAAATCACAGCGTCCCCCCAGCACGGTCCCGGCTCCCGCAGGTACAGCAGCTGCCTGAGGCGGCCCCACCTGCAACTCCGGACCAATCAGAGAAGGCCAAGTGGGCTCCCCAAGCCCAGCCGTGGGACCCCCGATCTAGAGGGCCCTTCCCCGCCCCAGGCCAGCAGCCACCCTCTGGCTCCTCATCAAGTCTGCCAAATGCAGGGGCGAGGGCCGACCCCGCTACGGGAACCAAGCCCAGGAAACAGCCGGTGCAGCGTGCGCTCCGGCGGCCCATCTCCATCCGGACCCGCTGCTGCCGCCGCAGGTTCACGCCGTTCCGCGGACACGTCTCCGGCGCCTCCAGCCCCTCAGAAACCCGGGGTTTCTATGGCAAAGGTCCTGGTGGAAATCGCATCACCTGCCGTTCCTGCCTCCGCGGTGGATTCGCTGCGTTAAACTGCCCCCCGCTCTTCATCCCCCAAGCCCCGGCAGCCTCCGACCCTCCCCCGGCGGCGCAGCGCAGCCTTTTGCAGGCGCCAAGCTGGAATCCGACCGCGCAGCCTTCGCACCGGTGCGCGCTTCAGGCCCCGCACGCCTCTCCCAGGCTTCATCACCCAGTTCTCTCTGGCGCTGGAGGAAACCCCCCAGCTGCTTCTCCACTCACCACTGAAGCGCGTCTCGGCTGCCCCCAGCCCCGTGCCCTCCCGAGAACACTGTGGGCCGCAACCCCACGGCCCACCCCCGACCTGCACTCACCGTGCGGGGCCTGTGGAGCCTCCACCCTTTGGAGGAAGGACGTGTCAAAGCTTGGAGGTGCGCGGCCTGTCTGCCCTCCGCCCCAGGCCCGGCATGGCGCGCCGCAGGGTCTCAGCCGGGATCAGCCTGGCCCAGAAGGATTTATCGTTGAAAGTGTTGGTCCCAGAACCCAAAGGGAAGACGTGCTGGTTTTCTGACGAGCTGGGCCACCTCCTCTAGGAAGCCCTCCTCCTTGCAGCTCTGTAGACCTCGTGGGCTTGCAAGAGTCAAAGGGCCCGGTCCACAGCGGCTCTTGGCACTGGGCTGGACAGTGTCCTGCCCCCAAAATTCATGTCCCCCCAGAACCTCCAAATGCAACTTTCCTTGGAAATAGGGGCTTTGCAGATGTAATTAAGGATCTTGGGGTGAGGTTACCCTGGATTGAGGCTGGGTCCCAAGTCTATCACTGGTGTTCCTCCGTGAAGAGTAGAGCAGAGCAGAACAGAGACGGACGCACAGAGCAGGCCCTGTGAAGACAGAGGCAGGGACTGGAGCGCTGGTTGGCCGCAGCAGGGGTGTGGAGCCCCCAGAGCTGGAAGACGGAGGGAGGGATCCTCCCAGGGCCTCCAGAGGGAGAGTGCTGCGTGCTGCCCACACCTTGTTTCTGGACTTGTGGCCTCCGGAACTGGGAGAGAATAAATTTCTGGCGTTGTAAGCCTGCATTACGGCAGCCCCAGGACGCTAAAATAGTTCAGCGCGTGCAGGCTCCTCCCTCCCTCTCTCTCTGTTGTTGTGAGGTATTTTTTAGACAGGATCTCTCTCACCTGTCGCTGGAATGCAGTGGCAGGATCATAGCTTGCTGTAGCCTCCAACGCCTGGGCTAACGCGATCCTCCCACCTCAGCCTCCTGAGTAGCTGGGACTACAGGTGCCATCAGACCTGGCTAACTTTAAAAAATATTTTTAGAGATGGGGGTCTCCCTGTGTGGCCCAGGCTGGCCTTGAACTCTTGGGCTCAAGTGATCCTCTCGCCTTAGCCTCCCAAAGTGTCGGGATGGCAGGCTTGAGCCACCGCACCTGGCAGTTCCATCTCTGATGACTCCTGAAGCCCTTCATCTTGGCTAATCCAGACAGGCTTGCTGGGGGCCCTCTCTCCCCTTGGAGACTTTGGGATGCGGCTGGATGTCCACATGGCCGGGGTCCTCCACAGCCCCCAGCTTCCCAGGGCACGAGGCAGGCTGTGTCCTCGGTGAGCATCGAGAGTGAGGCTGAGATGTTTGCCCTTCACATTTGCACATTTAGGGGCGTTTTGTTGTTGACTCATTCAAAGCTCTTTTAAGTTGCTTAATTTGCTGCTCGGAGGGAAATGAAAAAGGAGCCATGTTCCCTGATTTGTTCGCCTCAGTCAACTTTTAAATCAATAAAAAAGTGCATTTTGCTTATCGGATGCAAATAGGTACATCTTTCCTAATAGGTTGAGATTGAGTGATTCATCAGCCATTTCATTTCATTTGGAAGCTGAAAGCCTATTGGCATTTGGAGAGAATTCCCCACTCGAGAAGAGTGGGTAATAAGTCAGCATGAACGGGCAGGTGGGGTGTGGCTCTGCCTTGGCGGAGAAGCACGGCGCTGGGTGACGTACGGAAACCGGGACCTGAGGCAAGTGAAGGCTGTGGCCGTGACGCCGGCTCAGCTGTGACCAGGGGCCCCTGCCAGGCTGGACCCCAGATGCCTCACCAGGGATCCAGTGGGGGACTTGAATGAGGTGCAAACTCCTCGTCAAAGGACAAGCACCTCCCCATCCGGGCAGCCGCTGCCTCCCCTCGCAGTTCTAGCCGCTGCCGCCTGGTGTAGGGGGTCACGTTGGGCACCGTGAGCTTTGGGGGTCCGAAGTCTGCCAGCCCCAAGGACAGCAAGATGCCCCCCAGGCGTCCAGGCCAGCAACAGGCAACCCCTGCCTGCCCCATCCACCTCCCTGGGCTCCTTTCCCCTCAGACGCGGCCAGTGTGTGTGTGCTTCGGGGGGGTGGGGTCTCTGCTCTGGCCACCCCATTGCACCCCCTTCCCCTACAGACCCCCTCACACCCTCAGCACTTCCATTCTCTGGCATCAGGCAGGGAGGAACCAGCTAGGCCCCAAGGTCAGCCCTGCCCCCAGCACCTCCCACGGCCACAGCGGCGCTGTAGGATCCAATGCACTGGAGCCCAGATCTGCTCATGGAATCCAGCGCCAATTTCCCGGGACCCACACGGCAGAGGCTGGCGGGGGCAGGGAAGCCACGCGCGGCCCTCGAAGCAGATGCCGCCTGCCCCTGACCGTGCCTGCGGCCACTTTCTACAACCCCTGTGACTCTGGCCGTCTCTGACCACAGGAGGCCTGGCCTGGGCGTGGGAACAGCCGGGAGTGTGGGGAGTCGATGCCCTGGGGCGCAGCCACCACAGCCCCGCCGCTTCCCTATGGTGGGGACAGCTCCAGAGTGCTACGGCCTGGGGGCTCCGGGGGACGGAGTGCGTCTGCCCACTGCGGTGACCTGCTTACTACTGCCCGCTGGCACCCACCCCTTCGCTTCATAGCACCCCCTCGATGACGGGTGTTTCCTGGGGCCACCCCCAAACTCTCTGCCTGAAGATCCTTGCCTCTGAGCCTTCCGGGGGCACCCAACAGAGACCCGGTCACCTTGCTACCCCACGAGGACATACTGGCTGCAGGCAGATGACAGAGGGACCCAGGTGTCACACCACTAGGTGCTGACCTCCACACTCAGGCCACCGAGGCCACAGACACGTCCCCTCGGTCCCACGGCCAGGCCCTGGGAGGGACGGGGTGACGCCAACACGATTGCTGCTGCTGTTCCTAGCCTGGGATCTGCTCTGGGCCCGGCCGGCCCCGAGTCACCCCTTAGCCGCACACGTGGGGCCACAGGCTCTGAAAACGTGATCAGTGTTGGTCCCGACTCAATCAGCACCCACGGGGTGACCAGAGGCCCCGAGAGCCCAGCAGTGGGTTCCAGGAAGGGTGTGAGGCCTCAAGGAGCCAGGGCCGGAGCTGCAGCCGGGACCACCCCGTCAGCCACAGCAAAGACGGCAGGCAGCGGGTGCAGCTCCCCGTCCTAAGCACCATCCCAGACCCATTTACCCCATGGCAGGGGCCGGGGGGGAAACTGCGGCCCGGAGGTCAGGAGGCCTGTCCGCAGTCACCACCTGTGTGAATCTGCCGGGGCTGCCATAACAAAGACCCCACAAGCTGGGAGCTAAAGCCACAGAAACGCAGCTCCTGCAGCCCTGGGGCCACTAGCCTGAGATAAAGGAGTCCGTGGGGCCACACCCTCTGAAGCCTCCAGGGGAGGGCCCTTCCGCCCTGCACTGCCAGCCACCTGTGGTGTTCCTGGGCTCACCGCTGCCTCTCTCCAGTCTCTGCCTCCGACGTCACGCAGCTGACTTCTCCCTGTTGTCAGCGGCCTCCTTATAAGGTGCGGGTCATTGCATTTGGGACCCACCCCGTCCGACCTCATCTTCACTCCATCATTTGCAAAGACCCCATTTCCAGTGCTCGCAGGCACCGGGGGTCAGGACTTCAACATACATTTTTGGAGGGGCTCAGTTCAACCTACTCCACCAGCCTCTGAGTGCTGGGGCAGGGGATTCAGCCTCCCCCGCTGGCCACGGGGACCACTGGGCTACACAGCTCACCAGCCAGCTCCCCGTGGGGCTCAGGCCTCAGTCCCACCCACCCCTCCGTGAGGACCAGCTGGGGGCCCAGAGGAGGGAGAGGCAGCTGATTGCTGCGGAGATGGAGTCCTGGGGGAGGGGTGATGCACACCATCAGGTGGGGGTGGGCTCCATGGAGAGGGCACCCGAGACCCCCTCCCAAGAGCCAGGCTTCCTCCTCTCAGCAGAGCCAGGCCCAGAGGGGCAGCAGAGGGCCAGGCCTGTGCTTGGTCCCAGCAGAATTGCGTGGTCTGAGCCCGAGAAAAGATTCATTTGCACGTCAGCTCTGGGAGCTTCTCAGCCATTTCTGGAGACGTTGAAGAGCCGCCATCTATAACTTCATGAGGGACGGCGGGGCCAGGGGCAGCTGCTGACCACTCTCCCAGTGGTATCACCACATTTGCCCAGGGCCTGCCAACCCTCCCGTGCTGGGTCTGAGTGGCCACCGGCAGCACCAGATGGAGGCTCCCCGGCCCTCCCTCCTGAGCCCTGGTAGCGGGAGTGGGTGCTAAAACCTCATCCCGGGCCCCAGAGGACATGGGCCGATTCTTGCACAGAAAGCCATAGGCCTTGTCGCACCAGCTCCCTGTGGACGGGTGTGGACCAGTCATCATCTGCCCGCTCCCTGGGAGGGCCGCAGGTTTCGCCTGCTCCTGCCTTGCCAAGGCACTGACCGACTGGAGGCGCGAATCGGGCCTGGTCGTTGGCGGTCCGATCTGGGGACCGGCTCTTCGAGGTCTGTCCTGTTCAGCCCTGCCTGAGCTGTAGGGTCTTCTAGACCTTGGGTTGTGGTTTGGGGCTGCTGGATAAATGCAGTGACGGCAGCAAGGAGAACCGGCATTTCTGCTGAGCCTTTTAGGTCCACGATGTCTGTTTCCCACGTGGCTCTCCTGATGCCTGTGAGGGAGGTGAGGCTGCAGGTGAGGAGGCGGGGGCTCCAGGCAGGGGCAACCCCCACCCACCCTCATCCACGCAGCTGACCGGGGCCGGGCTGGGGTTCAGACCCAAAGCTGATGCCTGTGCCTGTACCCCCGGGGCGCTGCTTCTCTCACCAGGGCATGGATGGGGCACCGCTGGCAGCCAGCGGACAGGGTGGGGGATATGGAGTCTGGTTCCAGTAAGGAAGGAGACCACTACTACTCCTGCTGCCCTCCTCCCCCCACTTTGCCTAGTTCACAAGACATGAGGAAAGAGAGAAAGAAATAAAAGTAAGATAAACAGTCAGACAACCTTGGCACCACCACCCGGCCCTAGGAGTTAAAAAAAGTAATAATAATAACATCAACTCCGACCTAAACTACTTGTGTTATCTGTAAATCCCAGACACCATATAAAAAAAAAGCCTTGTAAAACTTTTTGTTCTGTTAGCTGATGCATGCAGCCCCCAGTCACGTTTCCCACGCTTGCTCGGTTTATCACGCCCCTTTCACGTGGACCCCTTAAAGTTATAAGCCTTTAAAAAGGCAAAGGATTTCTTTCTCGGGGAGCTCGGCTCTTAAGATGCGAGTCTGAAGACGCTCCCAGCTGAATAAAAAACCTCTTCCTTCTTTAATCCGGTGTCTGAGGAGTTTTGTCTACAGCTAGTCCTGCTACACCAGGGCATAGAGGCCACCCAGCCTCCAGCAAAGGCCAACGTGCACCCTCCGTGGGGATGCGTCCCCCTGGGGCTTGGGCTCCATAGAAGAAACGGCCGGCAATGATGAGCTCACACCCCAAGGCACTGGCAGACACGGCAGCATCTTTTAATTTCTAATATTTCATTTTATTTTTTTTTAAAAAAGATGAAGTCTTGCTCTGTCACCCAGGCTGGAGTACAGTGGCACAACCATAGCTCACTGCAGCCTCGGACTCCTAGGCCCAAGTTATCCTCCTGCCTCAGCCTCCCAAGTAGCTGGGACTATAGACAGTGCCACCATGTGCCTCCAAGTCCAATAAACTTTTTTTTGTTTTTTTGTAGAGAGATTCTCACCAGGTTGCCTAGCCTGGTCTCCAACTCCTGGGCTTAAGCAATCCACCTGCCTTGGTCTCCCAGAGTTCTAAGACTATGGGTGTGAGCCACTGCACCTGGTCAATAGTATCTTAAGAACCAGAAATAATAATAGAACAATTAAAAGAGATAGGCAGGGCGCGGTGGCTCACGTCTGTAATCCTAGCACTTTGGGAGGCTGAGGAGGGCAGATCACTTGAGGTCAGGAGTTCGAGACCAGCCTGGCCAACAAGGTGAAACCCCGTCTTTGCTAAAAATACAAAAAATTAGTGAGACATGGTGGTGGGCGCCTGTAGTCCCAGCTACTTGGGAAGCTGAGGCAGGAGAGTGGCTTGAACCTGGGAGGCGGAGGTTGCAGTGAGCCAAGATCGTGTCACTGCACTCCAGCCTGGGCCACAGGGTAAGACACTGTCAAAACAAAACAAAACGAAGCAAAACAAAAAAAAAAGACTATACATGAGTTTAAAAGGACTAAAGAGATAAAAGTAGAAATGAAAAAAAATATGATAGCATGAAAAGGACCCAGCAGATTTGAAAAACTACCACGCAGGACCTTTAACACAAGGAATGTGGGTGTTGGAATAAAAACCTAACTGATGGCTTCAATAGCAGATTAGATGTGGCCAAAAGAGAATACGGGAGTTGGAAGACAGCCCTGAGGAAGTCACCCAGATGATGCCTCTCTGTATAGAAGCGGGTAAGAGACTGAGGCTAAGCTGCAGAAAGACCAGTGTTCTCACGTTGAAGACACTCTCCAATC